TTTCACTTTAAGTAGTGTCATGAAGAGACTGGTACTTTGCTTTCCTAAATGCTCTTGGATTCTACTTTTGTTTTTTAGAAAGTGAGCTGTAGTTTAGTTTTGCAGAGCTGAAATTTTTCCTGAAACTGCAAGGGAAATAGCCTAACTTGTTAGTAACCTGGAGTTTTAGTTAAGTGAGATTCCCTTGTTGAAGTCAATTATTTTCCCCCTTTTTTCCTTCCTACTTGCTATTTAATTGAAAGCTCAGTTTAACTACTTTAGACCCAGATTTCAGTAGGTGCTCAGTATTGGTATGATAGTCTACAGCCCAGATTTTTTGCTGACATAGCTTTGTTCATCAGGACTTTTGAAGTTCCATGATCCATGAATGACATAGCTGTGTTGACAGAATCAGGTATAGTTGGAGTTAAATTGGAAAAAATGCTTTTTACCAGTATAACTTGTTTTACCTGTCAGGGAGGCTGTACTATATCAGTATGAAATGGGGATTGTTAGTATGACTGTGTCCATATTACAAATTTTCTAGCATAGACATAGCCTTTAATAGGTCAAGAGTTTAGGAAGACTCAAAGAGTGAGATGGTTGTCGGAAATCTGCATGCTTCTTATGAGCCAGTCCCTAAACAGTAGGGATTAGGATGAGATTTCTCTGGTAGGTAGATTCAGACATCTGCATACTATGGCATTTTTTTGCTCCTTGTTCTGAAACATCTGGTGCTGGCCATTGGCACAGAATTCTGAACGAAATGAACCCAAGGTTTGATGCAGGGTAGAAACTCCTATTTTCCTAGTAGATTTTAGTATTCCCTGCTCTTAACCTCTCGAATATCAATTACATCAGGGCCTTGAATCATTAAGTGTTCTGCCTGGTTCTGAACAACATGGACATGTGACTTTATCTGCTGATGCACATAAATGGGGTGCTATAAGGGATCCTTTGATGTGACGAGCAGCTTTCAGAAAGACTCCAGTGTTGCCTGTGGCCTCAAGAAATTTTGCTTTCCACAGTTATGTTTCTTCAGGTTGACAGAGAAAGATCAAACTACACAGTTGCTTGCAGCAAGTTACTTGCTTGCCTATGGACAATAATAATGAGCAAAGGTTGGAAACAAGTGACCTAGAGACTCAAAGTCTCTTCTTGGTAAATTTAGCCTTTTACATAGTGAAATTTCATTCTTAGATACAGAAATTCCTATTAATGCTTGCTATAATATAGACTAGGTCCTTTACTGTACCAAAATTTACTGCTGTCAAGTCTTGCTTAGATTAAAGTTGTATTGTTCTAATTACGTGTCCTTTTTTTAAAGCAACTTGGTTCAGTTGATGCAGATTGTTGTATGGACACACTTAACTGAGTAGACTGGTTTATAAATTGATCTACATATGTCCACGGAAGGATTTGCACTGATTTAACTGAATGGCTTCAAAAACTTTCTTTTTGTTTAATCCAGTGCTGTTATATGGGTAAATTTTGGTAACACCAGAGCAGTTCTATTCATACTGAGAAGAGTGGAAATGTTAGAGTAAACAGTTTGGCACTTCCAAATCTATGTTGGCTGATGTTAGAGATGCTGAGCTTGGTCTCCTGAGTAGTGCCCCTGGGCACTGCTACCACCAATTTTAGTGTAATGGTGGGTGATTACATAAAACATTTAAGGGATTACAAATTGGCTTAAAAGCTGCAATCATTGTGGCTTCACTGTGAAATCTTGCTTGACTGAGGACTCGCCTTCATTGCTAAGGAATTCTGGGTATGCGAGCTATCTAGAGATAAAGTGTTGTACTTTATCTCTAGATTGGCACTTCAGTTGTACTGTGAGAAGCTCGCTAAGGTTTTTTTTTTCTTCTTGGTCTGTAGTTTCCCATTCTTTGTCTCCTAAGGAAAGCAGTGGTGGTTTAGAAACAATGTACCAACCCCTGTTTGCTCTCTTCTGTCTGTACCTCCTGAAAGGCTGTCAACAGGGTGAAATTCCAAAAATACTGTGTTTAAGCATGCTAGGAGTCTGAGAAATGGAGAATTACTCTGGGGGATGAGCAGTTGAATGCCAGATCTCAAGAGATGTATCCAGACAAAAGGATGCTGGATCCCATATTAAACCTCCAGTGTTGGGATTCAGGACAGCAGTATGGTGAGGGGTGCACAGGCATGTTCTTTCACAGATGGATAGGATGATCTCAGTGAGTTTACCTAGCTGCAGCGCCTTGTCTTCATTGTGTTTATACCTGCAGATAGCTTGCACACATTAATTACCGAAAGCTCATTTAGAAGTAAAGACAAGGTCCCAAGTAATGCTTCATTCCCTTGCAGTTGGACTTCATCCCAACTGGTATTCTTGGGAGTTGGGAAGATTACTACCGGTTGATGCTAATGGCTCCATTCCTAACCCTCCCCCTTTCTCCCCCACAATAACACAAAGCAACTTTAAATATGAGTTGGTTGAAATGATGATCATACCAAATCACACATTGAAATGCTTGTTGAAATGTTATGCTTGAATAACTTTTCTTATTGCATCACGGTGGTGGATGGGTTTTTTTTTGACGTGGAGAGATGCGAGCAGTGGGGTCCCCCAGGGCTCGGTCCTTGGGCCCACACTGCTCAACATCTTCATCAGCGACTTGGATGAGGGGGTGAAAAGCACCTTGTTCAAATTCGCGGATGACACTAAAATGTGGGGAGAAGTGGTAATGCTGAAGGAGAGGGACAGACTGCAACTAGATCTAGACAGGTTACAGGTGTGGGCGGATGAGAATAGGATGGGATTCAATACTGATAAGTGAAAGGTACTGCACCTGGGGAGGAAGAACCAGCAGCATACCTACAGGCTGGGGAACTCCCTTCTAGTCAGCACAGAGGCAGAAAAGGATCTTGGTGTCATTATTGATTCCAAAATGAACATGGGCCGCCAATGTGGGGACGCAGGCAGGAAGGCTAACCGCACCTTGTTGTGCATCCACAGATGCATCACGAGCAGGTCCAACAAGGTGATCCTCCTCCTCTATGTGACATTGGTCATGTCGCAGTTGGAGTACTGCATCCAGTTCTGGGCGCTGCACTTCAGGAGGGATGTGGCCAGCATCGAGAGGGTCCAGAAGAGGGCCACCCACATGATCTGGGGCAGCAGGGCAGGTCCTATGAGTGAAGGCTACGGGACCTGAACCTTTTCAGCCTCCACAAGAGAAGGCTGAGAGGGGACCTGGTAGCTGTTTACAAACTGGCCAAGGGAGACCAGCAGGCAATGGGAGAGTCCCTGTTCCCCCGAGCACTACTGGGCGTAACAAGGAATAACGGCCATAAGTTGACTGAGAGTAGATTCAGGCTAGATATCAGGAGACATTTCTTCACAGTCAGGGCGGCTAGGATCTGGAACCAACTTCCAAGGGAAGTGGTGCTTGCTCCTACTCTGGGGGTATTAAAAAAAGAGACTAGACAATCACCTAGCTGGGGTCATTTGACCCCAGCATTCTTTTCTGCCCATGGCATGAGGTTGGACTCGATGATCTGCTCAGGTCCCTTCTGACCCTACCAACTATGAAACTATGGCATAATGCTGAGCATTTTCAACTAGTGTTAGGAACGGTGGGTACTAAGTACTGTCAGAGGTGGGCCCTTAATTGATAAGGATTTGGTGTGATATAACTACTATTTTTACTGTTTCTCAACCCTTTTTTTCAAAATTAGCAGAGTGTGTTTAAATGCTATGAATGAGCTTAATTTTGAAGTTTTACAACTATTTGAGTTCTCCAAGTGCAAGAATGTGTCTAATAAACTTCAAAGTATAAAACTTGCTAGCATTGCTTTTAGAACACTAGAACAGGTGAAAGGAAACAAGATGCCTACAAAGGCATTACCTTATTTGTTGTCAGCTGGAGAGAGATTTTATCCTAGAGATGACTTCTTCAGAAAGATGTGAGCGATCAAAAATGAGACCAAAAATGAAAACTAGGTTATAATTGCTGAGTACTCTTGTTCTTTTTTTTCAGGGTTACAGACACTGACCGTATTACACATTGGTTAGTTTTTATCTTTGCTCTGGCAGTTGATTCTCCTAACGTGATATGCAAAGCCATGTTGTCATCTCAATCTTCTCGATCTGACATGGCAAAGCCACTGAAAGCAGAAGTTGTATTTTAGTACATACAATCTACATTTTCTCTTAATTATTAACATATAGGTAGACTTACATTTTATTCTATTATTACAATGCAAAGAAAATAACTGGGAGCCTCATTTTTCATCTCTAAAAATACTCAGTCCTTCATGTTGTGTTGGCTCTGCTAATGCCCTGCTGGCAGTGCTGGAAAAAAAATTGTTTTGTCTTTTTGTGTCTTGCATTGTTTTCCCGCAAATGAGGGAAATATTTATCTTCCTTTTGTAAAGAGCTTTGAGATCTGTGAATTTTTTTTCAAAAACTGTAGTGGATGATGATTATTTATTGGCTAGTTCAATTGTAATATTGTTTGGGGGAGGCTGAGAGAACAAGCCCTTAAGCCATTTTAGAACACAAAGGAAAAACATTTTACAATTCAAATCATTTTCATTTAAGTAAGGAATGCAAAATATTGCAATTATGTAATGCAAAAATTCAGATAAGTAGAACTTGAATTCATTTTGAAAATCATCAGCTAAAAGCAATAGTTCTGTAAGTGGGAAACAAAGTTTAAAGTAAACTAAAATTTAAATCCTTAGTACTTTGTTTCCTTAAATATTATGGTTAATATGCTTGGCATTAGTGGCCACATAATTTTGACATCTTGCTACTGTGTAGTAATAATTAATTGGCTGCCCTCCATTTAATATTGATGTCAGCTATGTTCCTCCTGTAACATAATTACTTCATTTCAAATGGTTGCCAGCATTACTTTGTTAAAATATGATTTGTATTTCTGAATGATTATTATGATTTTAAGGTGTAATGCAGACTGCATTTAATAATTACTGAGCTATCTTTTCTTATTTTTAAACATTGCTACTTACATTCCTCTGCTTTCTTTTAATAGTTAAAGTACCTCGTAATTTTCGCTTGTTGGAAGAACTTGAAGAAGGTCAAAAAGGAGTAGGCGATGGTACAGTAAGCTGGGGACTTGAGGATGATGAAGATATGACACTTACAAGGTGGACAGGCATGATTATTGGGCCACCAAGGGTCAGTATGGCAAGTAAAAACTTTTCTCTTAAGTTTGTAGACAGCATAAAATCCTGTGTTAAACTTGTATTTCAGAGAGGACATTAGAAACATGTTTTAAAGTATAGTTGTGGTGGTCTGTCACAAGTTATCACCAATTTGTCGCTAATCGGAGCCTGCAGATTGACTTGAGTTAAATATGTGAGGCTAATATCTAGTATATGTAGATATATGCCAGCAAGCTTGTAGATAGCAGTGGCGAGTTTTCCACATCCAAGTCTGAATTCCTTAAAATTTGTGGACAGGCTAGGAGGAGCTGCATAGGGACATTTCATTGGCCCAAAGTTCACATGGCAGGCAGTTTTTATGCTTTTCTTTGACTTAGCAAAGTTTGCAATGCTACATGTCCTCAGTTATTTGTATTATTATTAAAGAAGGAGCAACCCTTAAGGCACCGCACATCTGGATTCAGTCTGGCCTTTGGATTCTGTCTCAAAGGTCTAATGTGGGGTGGAGGGGGATAGGTTTTGGGCAGCCTTTAAACTCTTGCCTAGGCACAAGTGTTGGAGGTATTGGTGAGATAGCTGCAGGACTCTATGCACGTGGATTCATCAGGCACCTGACTTGACTTCTTACATGTACCCCACGATCTAGAGCAGGGTTTCTGAACCGGGGGTGCATGTACCCCCAGGGGGTATGTGACACCTCATCAGGAGATGCATGAGATATATTTCATACACTGTCTAACAGGTCAAAAAATTAATTTCCCATTGAAAGGGGGTACATGAAGTCTCACCCTGAGACCAAGAGGTACATTGACTGAAAAAGGTTCAGAACTGCTAATCTAGAGACTTGATGGTTGCCTACTACTAAGTGATCTGTGTGAGGGAGTTATCCTTTGAAGCTGTTGCTGCCTGGGGTATTAAGTATATATTAAAGCGTTTCCATCATTAACGTGGAGATGTGGCTAGTATCAGCCAGGTTATCCTATTCAAGTTTTGTTGGGATGTGCAACTGCCCTTTCACTACATATCATCCATCCTTTTTAGATTTAATTCTGCAGTGAAGCAGTATTCGTAGAAATATTGTGATGGCTAGAATGTGAGAAATTTGCAGAATTAAGTGAAAGGCTAATCAGTGTTGTTAACTATATTGATACCACACAATTTCTTAATGTAGCATCTCTGTAAAACCCACACAGAATCCTCTCTAAAGACCACGTAATTACTTGGTTATTTCTCATTAGATCCCAGAAGAAAGCCTTCTAGATTGTAATTATTAGCAGAGCAGACTAGAACTCTCACTTTGTTAAGGATTGGTTTAGGATGGTTCTGAGGCAGGGATTTGGATGACCATTGGGGCTGTGCAGAGTTGGTCAGTCCTTCATTGGACCTGGGTGAAGGGGGTCCTTTACTTTTACTTGCTATCCCTTTTTACATAGTGCGTTATGTCACATTTAAATGATTATTATTAAACATTTCACATTAACGAGCTAAAATGATTTCAAACTTTGTGTGGATTTAGGCACATATCATGGAGAGGTTTTAGAAAAGGCTGTTTTTAGGGCATGGTCAAGTGTGTATTTGAAGCACTCCAAATTCTGTTCAGATTTGGAACACTTCAAATTCATAGGCTTTAGTGCTGTGCATAGATGTGCACTACCCTGTGCTTTTTTTTTTTTTTTTTTTTCAGAGTACTTCAGA